TCAATATATTATTAATTAAATCCATTTTTATCTAAATATGGATATACTTATTTATCTATACATCTTATTTCAGATTTAGTTTTTTATAAGAAGGACAGTACCTAGCCTTGTAGTTTATATATTCTACTGATAATCATTAATATTAATGATTAACAGAGATCTTTTAGATATTTTGGCTAGCTTACATATCACTATTGATATTTTTAGACTCGAGTTTTGATTGGTATAGTGACATTAGCCTTCTAGTCTTTCAACTTGAGATTTTTTGAAAACTTTCTAGGTTGCTTTGTACATGAGCTTTATCACCGAGTATTCCTAATAGCTCTATGCTTTCTTTAGTTTAGACTTTTTTGAGCAGTAGAGGTTGAAAACTACTTGATATACAATCAGAATATAGGTGATTCTAACTTGAAAAAAAGTCAATTAAGTATTTTATGACCTTTACTATGGTTAGATAGACTCTTTCTTGTATCCAATGATATATTGGTGACATGTCCTATATTTATCTATATCAACACATATGATTTATAGTGGACCCCAGGTTTTTATGGAACTGAGAAAATATATTCAGACATGTGTGGTGACCAATAGGAGCTTGTTTATCAATTTTGTCCAATATGATTTGTGTTAGCCAATCAAAATCAGTGATATCTATGTTACCTAAAATTTTAGGATCAAGCTGAAGTAGATAAAATTCCTCAGAAAGTTATGAAAAAGATAACTTTTAGAGGTCACAATGTTAGTCAAAAAGTAAAAAAATAAGTTGTTTGATTGAAAAAAATTGCTATTATTTTTTTACTATAACTGAAAGATAATAGATAATTCACTGTTGGTCCTTTTCCCTTAAGAACCTTCTTGCTGTTGGCAATAAAAATAAAAGTTAAACTTTGCAGATCACAAGAGTTTAGTTTGTTCAAAAAAATTGTAAATAAGATATAGGGAATGTGAGTGAGTTTTAAATGAAACTCTTTAAGTTGATTTAAGAAAAGTAATAAGACTCTTTTAGCAAAGAAATATTAAAACTTCTTGCAAATGTCTTTTTTGTGTGTGGTCAGAAAATCAGTGAAAAGAGTTAAATAACAATATTATATGTGATAAGACACATAATACCTATTAGAAGTGAAAGATGTAAGTATAAAATAAGGGCTCTCAAAGTATTATCTCATATTTCAAATCACTAGTCCACAAAGTATTACAATAACAACAAAATATTTTAGTATTAAGTAACAAAAGTAATTTTTATTAAAAAATAAATAGCAAAATTAATTATTTGATTCTTCTTTTTAGAAAGGCACATTATTTGAAACTTGAGAAAGATTAAATTATAAATTGGTTTTTGATCCAAATGTATGAATTGTCAAGCTAAGAAAATATTTCAGGAAGGAAGATCGATTAAACTCATTTGTCTCTTATTAATAGTTATGAAAAAAGGTAAATTTGAAAGGATATTTGTTTAAATTAGTTGAATCCACAATTTTTCTATATAGAGACTAAGTACTTGAATTTTTAAGTGCACTGTTAACTGTTGAGGAAGTTTCAAAATCAACCATCTTGAGTTTACTTAAAAGAACAAAGTTATCCATTGCCAATATTGAATTATAACTTTTTGATCATAAAGATGAAGCCACTATAAGATATCTTCTTGATCTCTAAATTACTTATGAAATATGAAAAGTTTAATTCAAAAGGAGACTAATTCCTCTTTATATTTTGAATAATAATAGCAAAGTAAAGTTTGATCAAGGAATTTCATTTTTTCTTGCACCAATATGATGTAATTAACTATTGGATTAGGATGTTTAATAGTATGCTCAAGTCTATTAATATATGGCATTTTTAAGAAAATTGAAATATAAATATGAAAATTAGTAATAAATCATTTATCAAGCCTATATATTTACTGTAATGATGAACAGGAACTGATGATTAGTTGGACAAGTCATCATATAAAGCTAAATTGGAATGAATTGATTATCAATAGTATAACCTTAAAATATATTTAAAGAATATTTATATGAAAAAGTTTCTATAAAAAATATTTAAACTTAAGTATTAATAATCAGCTATAAGAAAACTGGACTTACACAAAATAAATATTTTATCTATTTTGGATGAAATTCTAAACTAGTATAAACTTTTATACAATTCTATTACCTTAGTAAAGGATAGTATCAAAAGTACTTTTTTAAAAATCAAGCAACACATGTAGCAATCTGATAATATAATAATTTTGATTAATTTATATTATTTGAAAGAATTATTGAATATTATCCAAAATCCTAAACAATTGTGACAATGGTATTTTTGAAAAAAATTCACTTTAAAATTCTTAACACTATTAATGCATAGCTAAATGCACTTATGAAATCTTTCAAGGCAATCCAAATCAAATTTATTGAATAAAATTCTTATTCATAAACCATCTATTTGAGATAACTAATAAAATTTATTAAAAATAATTTTATTCCCTATATGAGAAAACTTGACTCAAGGGACTTCATCTTTTAAGAAGGGAAAAGTGTAATATAAATAGCTTTTAATATTATTGAATAATTATTTTTAATCATGATCTTCATTCTATTTTTATTTTTATCTATTTATTTATAATTATTTCTTTAATATTTTTTAATATTCTTATTAATACTTAATTAGGATAGATCATTTTATTTATTATAGATTAGACAATCCAAAAGATCCAAAAGATCCAAAAGACATAAGTGTTCTATTTTTATAAGTATATAAGTAGTCATAATTTGCTTAAAAGTAAAATAAGTTTGCGTATAATTTTATTTGATTTTGGAAGTTTGATAATAACTTTATTTGACTTTTTGGAAAATTGGATATTTTCTTTTAATTTTAAGACTAAAGAAATTGTCCTATTTTTTTTGATTTATTAATAAACTTGGATTTTGAATGAACTATATTTTTTGTGAAATATTGTGTAACATTGTTTGAAGGATTCTTAATAAATCTATTTTTAAATATTTCTTTAATTATTATTAACTGTTTCTTGAATTCTTTTTTTGGAAATTATCCTTTTAAAAACAATTTCACTTGAACACATTGGTCAAATATAAATTTGATCACAATATAAAAGCTTAAAAATATATCCAAATTATTTTTTTCTTAAAAATATTTGACTATAAATATTATTTTTTTAGAAGGTATCAAATAATTATTAATTATAAAATTAAATAATAAAAAAAAATCCCAAAACCTATAAGTATATTAAAATTTAATAATTCATAATTATAGTAATTATCAATTAATATAACTAAAAATTGATTATTTAATATAATTTAACAAATATTTAAATATCATTAAAATATAAATAATTATTAAAATATAATAATTTAAATATTTATTATAAGTAATATATAATATATACTTAGAAATAATAATCTTTTTATTTTATGTTTAAATTAAATAAACAAAGGTATTGCTCAAAAAACTTATTAAAGAAAATAATTGATCTAAACAAAAATATAAAAATTTAATTATAGATAATTGAAAACATATAATTTGATTAGATAAAAATAAATATTTGTTATTTTTATTTAATAAAAGACAATATTATCTTTATTAAACCAATTTATTATTTCGATTGTTAAATTTGAAGATAATTATTGAGGTGTTTTAATATTTTAAAATATTGAAAATCTTTGTTAATTAAAAAATTTTAATTATTAATTTTTGAATAAATATTTTTTAATTACTTTTTATTAATTAAATTTTAATAAGAATCAGATTATTTTTTAATAAAATAATGATTTCAAAAATATTATTAAAGTAATTAAAGACTGATTTTATAAAAAATATTAAATTAATTAGTATAATCCTTTAATTTGAATCCAATTGAATATTTGTAAAATAAAGTTGATAAATATTTATAATATCTTTTTAATTCTCCATTCAATAAAAATAACTTGTGAAAAGATTTAAAAATTACATAGAAAGATATTGAAGTTAATTTTTGTAATAAACCAATTAATACAATGCTTTAGAGTTTGTAATATTATTAAAGCATATGAAGGATATAATATATTAAAAATAATTGTTTAATATAAGGTAAGGTTTTTTAGATTACTTTATATTATACGTTTTTTTTTTATAAATTTGTACACAGTTATATATATTATTTATTCGTTGGTAAAAAATCTATAAAAAAATTAAATCAAATTTCTTTTTATCAATAATCTATCTCTTTTCTAAATAAATTGTGTCGATTGTATCATGTTTAAAAAAAAAAAAAAACTGGTTTCCAAAATTTTTAATGTTTTTAGTAGCAATGCTATTTTTGGTATTATATGCGTATAATGTCGAGACTTATTGGACAGGATTTTTCTAAATCCTAGAATTTATATACAGTATGTATTATTAAAAAAATAGGGAACAAAAAAATCGGTTATAACAGGATTATTAGGAAAAAGTACTGTAGAAACTCCCAAAATAATTATTATACAATACATACTGTATATATACTGTATATATAATCAGTTACCGTAGAAACGAGTGATCGACTCAGTCGACGAGCGATTCTTCTCAGACTACGCTAAAAATTGATCACCGTTCTGCATTTACAGCCTTGGGATCGATAAAAAATGATCATGTGCCAACAACATATGATGGCATATGAAACCTTCACGATGATCCATGGGTCAATTTAATTGGATGTTGTATTGGATGCTTGTTGGTTAGTTCTCTTTCTGCCCAAATAAATAAAATGAATTACTTGTTTTTTATGCGAATCAATAAGAAAAATTCGTCTTTAAAGTTAATTATCAGGACATCTTTTTTTGTGCTCCTGAGAAATATTTTTAATTTCCCTATTTAGTTCAAATTTACAAGATCAACTAACAAAAACTGATGCATGTCAGTTATTAACTTGCCACTTGCTACACATCGACTTTTTTACTTTTTGCATTCCACCAAAATCCCTAGATTTTTGGGGAGTACCTTTTGGTTACGAAATTATTCTCGTCAAATTGTAAATCACTATCATGAAGTTTTCTCATTCTATTCAATTCAACTCGGTGCCCGACTGGGCTGAACACTATATTGCGTATCCTTTGTTTGGCGATTTTCTTTTTTTTTCTTTTTTCTTTTTTTTTGTTCCTCGTTTTTCTTTAACTCGATGATCTTTAAAGATATTCAAATCTTAAGAAACTTATTTATCAGATCGAAAGAGATTTACTCACCATCGCGACTTCGGAAGATGATGCTGAGTCACACACCGAAATCTCACCCCTAGTAGATTCCAGAGCTCGTGCAAATGCGATATTCATACCAGCACTTGACAAAGAACTCGTAAAGATCGATTCATTTTATCTCGGTAAAGAAAAGGAACTCTTCGAAGAAGTCGATACACTTATCCAGGATTTTGCAGTGTTTGAAAATCTTGAGGATAATGTTAGCATTCATAGCAATTCAATGGGCTTTAGTCGTTCCTACCAGTCTTCGGAGGGAATAAACACTCTCGGGCGTTCTCGTCTTAGTAGTGACGATGAAGAACGCGTTGCTCCCAACAGATTTTCTATTGGCAGCGAACCTTTCAATTCGAGCGAAGACAGAAGAATGTCGTTTATATGGGGCCCACCTTCAATCGAGGATCAAAGGATACACATGAAGAAACGTACCATCGAACTTTTTGTCTGGTTATCGGAACTGAAATCATTTGTTTCTTTGAATCACACGGGGTTTTCAAAAATTCTAAAAAAATATGATAAGGTTACCGATGGTAATCTCAAAGGTTCATACATGAGTAACGTGGTGAGTGCGGCATATCCATTCAGACCTTCGTCTAAAAAAACTCTCGAGGAAAAGATGCTAAAGGTTCAAGAGATTTATGCCCATTTATGTACAAATGGTGATATGGATGTTGCCATGCGTGAGCTTAAAACTCATTTGAGGGAATTCATAATATGGGAAAGGAATACTATTTGGAGGGATATCATTGGTTTGGAGAGGAAATCGCACGCTGTTGGCATAAAAGCTCCAGTGACTGTGGATAAATTGGTCGAATCAGGTTCTAAAATTAGAACACCTTTTGGTAAATTGACTGTGTCGGATACCTTTTGGAGAGACGCTTTCTTGTTGACGCTCTGCATTGCGGTATTCTTTGTCCTTTTGAATGTAAATTTATTCAAAAAAGAGGAGCAAAGGAATTGTTTTGCATTACTTGTGTTTGCTAGTCTTCTTTGGTCAACGGAGGTAAGGTAACCAACCAAACTCTTTCAAGAAATCTTGTTTACAACACTCGTGTGGTCTAATTTTCACACACATTGGCAGGTCATACCACTTTTTGTTACGTCTCTTTTAATTCCCTTGATGGTAGTATGTCTGGGTGTGTTGCGTACAGATGAGGCACCACGTCAACGGCTTGTCGCAGTCAACGCGGCAAAGCACATATTCTCGGCCATGTTTTCACCTGTCATTATGTTATTACTGGGGGGATTTTCCATCGCTGGAGCATTGAGCAAATATCACGTCGCTAAAATAATGGCGACATATGTGTTGTCGAAGGCCGGCACAAAGCCACACTTTGTACTTTTGGCAAACATGTTTGTCGCGACATTTGCGAGCATGTGGATAAGTAATGTCGCAGCACCTGTTCTGTGTCTTTCGCTGGTTCAGGTATGTTTAAAGAAGATGATTGCCTTTCAAGTATGCCAATAAAGGGTATTAATATTGTAACTTGACCGTTGTTGACCAATAGCCTATCCTACGTAATTTGCCGCCCAACAGTTCATTTAGTCGATGCCTTCTATTGGGAATCGCTTTAGCGTCCAATGTTGGTGGTATGGCTTCACCAATATCTTCACCGCAAAATATTATTGCGATAAAAAACATGGAACCCTCGCCAACTTGGGTTCAATGGTTTGTTGTGGCCATTCCTTTGTGTATAGTTATCGACCTCTTTATTTGGTTATTGCTTCTTTGGAATTACAATCCTTCCAAAAATTCCCCAAAGATTCATCCTATCAGGTCCACCAGAGACCCATTGACTGGTGTCCAAATTTTTGTAATTGCAGTTACCGTGGGTACAATAGTCTTATGGTGCATCGAACGGACGGAGGCAGTAGAGAACTTTTTCGGTGACATGGGAATCATTGCCATCATACCTTTGGTTTTATTCTTTGGCACAGGTGTTCTCACAAAAGAAGATTTCAACAATTTCTTGTGGACAGTGATTGTGCTTGCTATGGGTGGTATAGCTCTTGGCAATGCTGTTCAAAGTTCAGGATTATTACACACTATTGCAAAGGATATTCAAATGATGGTTGGCGTTCTGAACGTGTGGCAAATATTTGTGATATTTGCTATGTTGGTACTCGTGGTGGCCACATTTATCAGCCATACAGTTGGTGCCCTAATTATTTTACCTGTTGTGTCTGAGGTCGGCGCTCGATTGGGAGAATCACATCAAAACTTGCTGGTTATGGTCAGTTTTCTTATCTTTATTTATTATTATTATTTTTTTTTTTGTGAAGATGACATGTCAATGTTTTATCATCGTTACTGTTTTCAGGGATCCGCACTGATGTGTTCTGTCGCTATGGGTTTACCTGTATCCGGATTTCCGAACATGAATGTGATCATGATGGAAGATGAGATGGGAGTACGATATTTGAGTACTTACGACTTCATCAAGTCTGGTGTGCCAGGGTCCCTTATTGGACTTTTCACGGTGATTACGCTTGGATATGTAATAATGTTGTCCTTAGGATTTTAAGTGAATATGAGTGATCTCAAATTTATCAAAAGTACATATATTCTATATCATATAATATTACATTAAAAATATTTAAATAGTGATTAATCCTAATAATAGCCCATTCCCAAAATCACTTCTATCGTTAAAATCCATTCATTAAGTAGTTATAGTGTGTGATACTTCAAGACCACGTTTGTTCCATTTTTAAAAATAAAATATATGACTTTTCATTTTTCTAATAATCTTTGAGTGTCGCGTGCCAGTGTAATTTCACATGATCACCCAAAATTTAATCGTCGGACAATCACACCCCCCCCCCACCATGACTTGACTGATAACGATAATCTCTTTCGTGATTGAAGACATGGATTCTCGAACAATCGGAGTTTTGGGGGGAGGTCAATTAGGTCGAATGCTCGTAGAAGCAGCATCTCGATTAAACATCGGTGTGGTAATTCTTGACAAACCTTCAGACGCGCCCGCTAAACAGATCCAAGCGACCAAGTCACACGTCGAAGGCGATTTCAAGGATCCAAATAAAATTCGTGAACTTGCTCAAAGAGCTGATATCCTAACCATAGAAATCGAGCACGTTAATGCCGATGTCCTAGAAATTTTGTCAAAGGAAAATGTCGTCATTCATCCTTCCCCCTCCACAATTCGTCTCATTCAAGACAAATACGCTCAAAAAGTACATTTGTCAAACAACAATATCCCTGTTGTGGAATTTCTTGAGGTTCCCTCGAGACAAGAGTTGATTGAGGCTGCTTCAAGGTTCGGGTACCCTCTAATGCTTAAATCAAAGACACTTGCGTACGATGGACGCGGTAATTACGTGATACGCTCGGAAGACGATATAAAGGCGGCCTTGGAAGCCTTGGGGAACCATAAAACACCATTGTATGCCGAAAGGTGGGCACCCTTTATAAAAGAGTTGGCGGTGATGGTTGTCAGGAGAGCGAATGGTGAAGTTAGGAGTTATCCGGTGGTAGAAACTGTGCACCGAGAAAATATATGTCATCTGGTGGTTGCACCTGCTCAGGTTAATGGCTTGCTCCTGGAAAAGGCGAGAGAAATGGCGGAAAGGACAATTCGAACTTTAGATGGCGCGGGAGTATTTGGCGTGGAGATGTTCTTGATGAGTGATGGTAAGATCTATGATAACTTCTCGGTCATGTAATTCAGTCATCCTTCTTATGTTCGTTGGATTATAGGAAGCATCTATGTTAATGAGATTGCACCACGCCCTCATAATTCCGGACATTACACAATTGAGGCATGTGAGACTTCACAATATGAGAATCATCTTCGTAGTATTTTGGACATCCCTTTAGGTAGTACCGCGCTCAAAGTTTCGACTGCAGCGATGATAAATATTCTAGGGAAGTCTGAGGATATCCAGGAATGCCTTCGTCCATGCACAAAGGCGCTCACCATTCCGGGAGTCACCATACATTTATATGGAAAAAAGGAGTGTAGAAAAGGACGTAAGATGGGTCACATCACCACGGTGGCAAATTCAATTCCGCAATTGTTTGAGAGGATAGAACCCATTATAAAGGTGATCGATGAGAGTGACACATCGATTCCATACACAACAATTCAACCACTCGTTGGAATAATAATGGGATCAGATTCCGATCTACCTACTATGAAAGCGTGCGCGGAGATACTCGAGTCCTTTGATGTTCCGTTTGAGTTGTCAATCGTGTCGGCGCACAGGACTCCTCTCAGGATGGTGGAGTATGCTAAGAATGCTCACAAAAGAGGGATAAAAGTAATAGTAGCTGGTGCCGGTGGGGCGGCTCATTTACCTGGCATGGTTGCCGCGTTGACGCCCTTACCTGTGATCGGGGTACCGGTGAAGGGAAAAATCTTGGATGGTGTGGATTCCTTATATAGTATTGTGCAGATGCCGGTGAGTTGATTAAGGAAAGAATTAATTTTGTTATTCAACTGATTCTCGATCTAATTTATGCCGTAATTTTTTTTAATTAAGCGTGGAGTGCCCGTCGCGACGGTGGCGATTAATAATTCGACGAATGCGGGATTGTTGGCAGTGCGTCAGTTGGGTGCGTTTATTCCCAATTATTTAGAGAGAATGGAACAATTCATGAAAAAACAAGAGAATGAAGTTTTAGCAAAGGTAGATAGATTGGAAGAGGTTGGTTGGAAAATGTATTGAGTTCTCGTTCAGTTGTTAAGGGGTGATGTTTGATAGTGATAATAGAATTACGAAACCGAGAAGATTATGTTTGTATGATCGATTTTTTTTTTTTTACGAACATTCGGAAGAAACGTAGACTCTGAAGGAATCACGATAACTTCTAGTAATTTAATTGCAGGAAAAACTGCGATGGTGTTATTATTATTACTGTCCAGGGCTATTTCATTATAGTAGGACGGTGATTAACCACAATGTACATAATTTCTTCGTGAAGAAGATAGCCGACATTATCGTTAATAAATACCAGAGTAAATTGATTAACGGTCATGAATATTAAATTAAAGGATCTAGTCGTTATGATAATCAAAAAATGACTCGATCTTCTATTTGCATGGTCAAACTTGACCATTTGCTTTCAATGTTCTATTTTTTCCTTTTCCACCATGATCATTCTCGAGGGAGTCGCTGGATTCCATGTAATAAATGATAATTTTCGTTCTTTGCATCTTCAAGTACCGATCATATATATGACATGAGATGATTGATTAATGGTCACTGGACGCAATCTATTTTTTAAATATGAACGCGCGATTCTGTTCTAATCCTGAAGCGACAATCAATCATTTTTTCAGCTTTTGTAGAATTATTTGGATCTCATGAAGATTCTCGTCCCACAATTCATATAATGATATCAGTTCTTGGACAATGCAAGTGATCTGTAATTTATGGAATTAATGGTGATAACGTGAGATATCAATCGGGAATTCGAACAAGGGGAGTGGAGTGTGTAAATAAATCATACCTGCTCAAAATCCACGTTCAACTCCGCAAACCATTGCCTTATGTCCTTTACCTTTGTATTCTCGTCATTACTGCTTTCGTTATTGGCAATTTTTCGAGAATTCCTGGTCACAACACCTTGTCCATTGCTTTCTCCGACGGAGCCGTTGTCATTATATTGACCTTCTTTAATGGCGATCGAAAAATAGAGAGCGGCGGCAGCGATTACGTGTGGAGGATATAGGAGGCACATGTCCGTCCTATAAGTATCATTCACTATAAACAAAGCCATCTGCACACCCCCTTCGTTTTTATCACCAAGGATCTCGTCAGCTAATGCTTTCAACGTACGATAAGGATGAAAAACAATCATATTGAAGTTCAGTTCTTCCATCAAGTAGAACTCCATTTCCGCGACTTTATGGTTTTCATAAGGAAATCCACCTTTATCTGCGAGAACAAGAAATCGAGTATAGATATAAATGTGAATATGCATACGCATGACTTCGGCGAAAGAACAAAACGGTATTCCAATTATAACCTTCGGTCAATTTTTTCATCTCTGAAATAACGGTTTTGATGTGATGCGGCGATTCCTCAATTTTACACGCCAAATACATACATGTTGCAGCGATTAGATACGGCTCTGTTCTCCGATAACTATTTCTATGATGAATAATTTGTTAGTGCGTCGAACCAACCGTTGGCTGAATACGTAAAGTTACATCAATACTCACCTCGTATAGAACCGTTTAAAATAAGTTAATGCTGTAGCGATAACGATTTGCCTCACCGAGAGACGTCTTCCGAGTTCGGTCATAACTGTAATCGATCATATTGTAAACATGACTGTTAGAGGGTTCTCTTGAAATCTAACTCATTTCCACTGGAACCGAATTCCTCGCGGAGATGACTTGCGCGAAAATCAAACACCAACTTTTAGCGAACCATATATTAACTTTTATTAGTTCCTGTTCGGTAACAACGGAGGAGTCTTCTTTTCGGCTATCTATCAGCTCCTGCCGGCTTAGCAACCAGTTCATTCTTAGAAAGGTTTTTAAACAGAGATCTGTTACGTCGAGATGTCTTATCAGGCAATCACACCAAAAAATAATCGTCGGAGATAATCACCTATGGGATGATGCCCAAAAGTTGACGGCCATTGCGAGTCAATTGTAAAGCGTGAAGAGACCTTGAGAAATCAATATAATCGAAAAACGTGATCCTATGAGAGACGCCGATCGCATACATTTATGCTCACCATTTCTAAAAAAAAAAAAAAAAAAAAAAAATGTGGAATTTTTGTCACGTTCTTAATGATTTAAAAGCTATTTCCTATGTTTCATCAAGTGTGACTATATCTGGTTGCAAGCGTCATTTTCGTTCTGTGCAACCCACTACCGCTGTACGCGTCCGCTTCGCTCCAAGTCCAACAGGGAGCCTTCACCTCGGAGGTTTGAGGACCGCGTTGTTTAATTTTCTATTGGCAAGAAAAACTGGCGGCACTTTCATATTGAGAATCGAGGACACGGATAAAGTAAGTATGGAATATCATTTTTATATGTATAAATGAGTTAGGATAAATTTTTATTAAGATTGTTTTGTGATATATAAGGCTCGATATGTTCCGGGTGCTGTGGAAAGCATGATATCCATGTTATCATGGGCCGGCTTGGACTATGATGAAGGTAAACTTGTGAAAATTGTGACTGTCATCCTCCAGACCAAGTTGTTCACTTCTCTTTTTCGTCAAGGACCTGGAAAGAATACTCACTATGGTTCCTCTTATCAAGTAAAAAAAAAAAAGTTTTTTTTTTTTGTTTTTCTCGACGCAATAATATCAAATATGTGCTCACGTTATTCTCTTGGTGAATTGATTCTATCTAGTCTGAGAGGACAGAGATATACAAAGACCATGTCAACAAACTTCTCAAAGTAAGATCAAAAGATTACTTTCTGTGAGAACTTGCTCAGCTGACTGCAATCGTTGTGTGTTACCAGGAGGGGAACGCGTATCGATGCTTTTGTACCCCCGAAAGACTTCAGAGAGTTAGGGCGCTTGCTCAGAAAGCTGGAAAAGGCGTTGCATACGATCGCCATTGCCTGTATCTGAGTCAAGGTGAAATTGATGAAAACCTATCGCAGGGCACCCCATTTACTATTCGTCTAAAGGTAAAAAAAAAAAAAAAATCATTACCACCGGAATTGGTGATTCACCGTGAATGTATATTAATGTTTTATATAATTAAAGACACCGGATGGCATTATCACCGTAAAGGACTTGATTTATGGCAATGTAGAATTTAATGAAAAGTACATTGATGATGCGATTCTTATGAAAAGCGATGGATACCCAACATATCATTTAGCAAACGTCATTGATGACCACTTGATGGGCATCACTCATGTGTTGCGTGGCGAGGTAATGATAAGCGAATGTTGTCTTGAGCTCGGTTAAGCGTCGCGCCTAAGCCGTTTTCATTCGTTTAGGAATGGCTTCCTTCCACTCCAAAACATATTTTGCTTTACAGAACTTTGGGCTGGAATGTGCCAGAATTCGCTCACCTTCCATTATTGTTGAACCCGGACAAGTCGAAATTATCAAAGCGATCGGGAGATGTCAAAGTTGAGGATTTCATGGTTGGGTTCATAAGACAGTCTTTCTTTAAGTTCGGTGTGATTCCTCCGCATACTACATCATGAAACGGGAACTGATTATTTCATCACTTTTTTGGTAAAATTAGAGAAAGGGTTATTTACCGGAAGCTTTGATAAATTTTGTCTCTTTATTAGGATGGAGTCCACCTGACTCCGGGAGCGATATTTTTACATTGGATGAATTGATATCTGAGGTATTGATTTAGCAAGAATTTGATCTCGCGTAAAAAAAAAAAAAAGAAAAAGACATCCATGCAATGAAGGCCGATTTTATTCCAGTTTTCATTGGACCACGTTGGTCGCTCCAGTAGCATTGTTTCGCACGACAAACTCGACTTTTTAAACAAGCATCACATGATCAGCCAATCCGAATCTCCACAAGGATTAGCCCGGTTGGTGTCTATGGTGAAGGCACCGGTGGAACAAAAGTTTAAAAAGCGGTAGTATCGAATTATTTGTAAGAATGCTTCGGAACAACAACAACAAAAAAAAAAGATCAATCCACGAAATTCTAAATAAGAATGAATTCGAAATTAGTCTGGAATTTGCGAGCGAGGAATACAGACTTGAGGATGATTATCTGAAGTTCGTCATTAAGACTATCGTAGTAAGTCACATACGAACAGTATCATTATACGCTTCTATTATAATTAATACTGATTCATTTTTTTTGGTTTTGGTTTTTTTTTTTTTTTGCTTGTTTTTTAGCAACGAATACAGAACATAAATGATATCCCAGAATTTTGTGAATATTTCTTTGTCGACCCTGATTATCAGTCATCGGAATCGACGGAAGCCCGATCAAAGATCTCAAATGATTCATTGAGTTAATATAATATATAAATATATATCAATTTCTTTTCAAGTATATTTGATTTATGCGGCGCAATATTGTCTCCATGTGTATAGGATTAGTGGCTACGATTACATTGGAACAGATCAAGGCTATTGGTGAAAAGGAGTTCGAGGAGAGCAAAATTAAAGAGGCCATTCAAAATATTGCCACAGGCTCGGGAATTAAACGATCTCAGGTGATGACGATTCTAAGATATATTTTTACTGGAATTAAGGTAACCCACCCGTAATTTTTGCTACCTTCAAAAAAATTTTTTTTTTATATTCTTCTTGATACATTTTATATTGAAAAATTGAAGGTTGGAGCGGGAATAACAGGTACAATTCAAGTAATCGGAAAGAAAACGTCCTTACGTCGTATTAGCAAGGTTTTGGAATCCTTGAACGTTAAAGCTTGATGCTGTGCTTGTGATTATGATCGAGTTGATTATAAATCAATCATTCGTTAGATATCATTCGGTCATAACATTACATTCACGGTCATTATTTAGAACGGGTTCCCAGGCAGAGAATTTAGGAAATCGACGGCATTGTACATAGACGGCGGGAACATTAGATGACTTTTTGTTTTCTTGATGCACGTGATGAAGTTAATAAAGCTCATTTAAAAAAAAAACGGGTCAATTAGATGAGCTAGATGAAAGATAAATATTGTCGTCCTGTCATCAAAACATGCGAAAATTGCGTTTGCATTAAGCATACGCGTATAATAAATGTCGATCACAAACATGTTTGGTATTACTTTCGGATCCCGATTTTTTTTTTTTTTTTTTTTTCTGGACGTAAATATCTAAGTTGTTCAAACGACTACCACTTTTTAATTTAAGAAAGCTGGAATATTTGAAGTCTTTAGGCGCGAAGCTAGAGATATTTTAAGATTACGGAGGCATTTGAGCTTAGTAACCCGTGGTAATATACCATACTTCACATCCGTGATAATTATTCACCTGATTCCCTGTTTCTGCTGACGTTGTTTCAAAATTTAAATCCACTGCTTACTCGTTGTTCAAAGTCTTTGCAATTCGGACAGCGTTCAATGATAGGCCGGTGTCCTAGAATCGATTGACCAGAGCTTGTGGACGATAAACGTATCTGGCCGCATATCGTTTAACCCGCTAGAATGTTGCTATATAGCTATTTGTGCTAATTTAAATTCTAATAAAGGACACTTGTTTGATTAGTTTGGTTATACGGCTTTTGAAAAACGTCCGAAAAAGAATGTCACTATCGAGATCTCATCGATCAAAATTCCCCTTACTTCTAAACCACATCATGAATTGTCGTGGGAACATTTCACCACCGATTTGTTTAATGTGTTTGTGACTAGAAAAAAAAGAAAAAAGAAAACTTGACATCCATGGATCGCTTACGTAAATTCTTCCAATATCCCAAAAAGCATACTAATCAAGTTTTAATTTTCGCACGATCTAAAAATACAATAAAAACTCTGCTAATTTCACTTGTGATTAAAAATACGAAAAATAATTATAAGATGCAATAGATAAAGGCAAATTAAAATTCAATATACAGATGTTATTATTATTATTATTATTATTAATTCGCAATCAGGTTAACATGGCTTGTCTTTATTGAATATATTATTAAATATATTATAGATTGATTTGACTTTCACATATTAATTTATCTATTATTAAAAATTATTTCTTTAAATATTTTAAAAATAATATTTTACTTTTTTATTGACTTGAAATAAATCAATTCAATATAAAATCAATTATTAATAAGAAAAATCACTATAGAAAAGTTTAAAACTATCTTAAAAAATATTCTTAATAATAAGATAGATAGATACTCATATATTAGCTATAAAATATTTGAATACTTGAATCTCAAAGAAAAAAAAATAATACAATATATTTTCTTTTAAAAATAATTAAAAAAATAAAATTTTATTAGTTTAGAAAGAAAAAATATAATAGAACCTATTTATCTTTTAAATAATATATATAAAGAAATCAAAGAAAAAAAAATCTATCAATTCTTTTTCTAAATATAATTAAAATCTATTACACTATATCTTTTCATATTATAAAAAACAATATAATAGATCAAATATAAATCTCAATTATTATTAAGAGTTTATAATAAATTTTTTTAAAAATAGAAGTTATAAATTTATAATTTAATAATAACAAGTAATAATATAAATTTTTTATTTTTATAAAAAAAAATGATTATGCAACTTCAATAAATCAGAAAAGAAGATAAAGTTTTTTATAAGACAAGTTATAATTTTCTATATAAATAATATAATCTAAATTATTAAATTAAAAAAAAATTTAAAAAAGATCTTAAATAAAATAAAAAGTTTATTTTTTAATTTTTAAAATAATGACTTAATCTTATTTTATTAAATTTTAAAATTTTGTAAAATATAAATATAAGAAATAATTATTAATAAAACAATTTTAAAAATTATTAAATGGCTTAAAATTCTATATTAATATTATTACTTTAATATTATAAACTGATTACTTTTCAAGAATATATACTCTATAACAAACTTTTTCCAAAATCCCACAGATCCTTAGAAATTTCCTTTTTAGGCAATACACCCAAGAAAAGAGACAACATACACAACTTAAGATATATATTCTCACAACACCAATATACAAAAGACATCTTAGCACAGAACAACACTTCGTGCATAGTTTTAGTCTGGTGATCACTAAGAAAATACAATATATATCAACAATCTTGATCTTTTTATCTTTTCTAAGAAGAAAGAAATAAACCAACATAAACTGATTTACAGTCAGAAAAGGGGATCCAATATCAACTTCACAGAACTTACAATCAGGCCAGTATAGATTAATACCTTTCTTGACATTACAAAGAATCTCAAAGCAAATCTTAAATTCCACAAGACCCAGAAGAATATCAATGCTCCTCAAAATTTAAATAGCCTAACATGCATATTCCATTGCCACACATATCAAAACACCTTACCAAAGTAGCACGAACATGTACATGTGTATAAAGCTGTTGTCAAAATAAGTTCATCAAAGATCTATCACAACAGCATAACAAAAGCGACTAAATTTGGTAAGATTAATAATTACTACTATCACAACAGAAAGTGATCAACATAAACAGAGTGTCAGGGATCTGTAAACACAACAACAAATTAGTGTAAATAGATAAACAACACTAGATAAAACAGAATATTTAACACGTATCTAATCAAAACAAGATCAAGACACATATTAAAATAGGAGAATAACTAAAAACAATAAGCAATACATGTAAAAGGTTTTTCTATTCCACGTGACAACATCAATATTCTTGACAGTCCGTATCTTTTGAGATATTCTTTTATATAACTTTTAGAGAGTTTACGATCTATATTTATCAAACTCACATGTCATATATCTTCTCCTTCTTCTATATTGTGGTTTTGAAATATTTTCTTCTCTATTTTATCAATGGATGGATGTCTTATATGTTCTCTTATTTCAGGTTCTAGTTGCTGGAAACTAAAAGTTTCCTCCTTTCTATTTACCTCTTTTAGATATTTAAAAAAGTCTTCTTTTTCTTTAAAATGGATAACTAATCACTCATTTCCATTGGTGAAGTTTTTCTGGAGGAGGTTTTACTTATCCTGTGATAGCTTTAGGATATTATATAGGTAGGCCTTGGTTTCTTCTTCTGAACTTCCTGGAATATTTGCTATTATGGCCTCTAATCGATACGCTCCTTTCTTGCTTATATAATATGGGTTCGAAGTAGAACCTGTAATTCTATTTCTTGTACTATATGAGTTGCATTTGCTTATATTTTGATTTTGGATCTTTTCTCTAAGGGCTTCAAGTTCCATGTCCTCCTTTATCTCCTCTTGTTTATAGGTATTGAACATTGTAATTTTATTATCCAATATTGATTCATTTTCTACAGGGGTAACAATTTCTATGGGCAGGGTTTTTGTCTTACTCAGATCTTTTTCTTCAATCATATCCAAGAATTTATCTTTAATATACAGTTAAAACAGATCTGTTTTTTTGCCCTTCCCTAATTGCCATAGATGAGTTATATGTTGGATTAAAATCTGTTCCTTATGGAATA